CTTGATCACTGGCCTAAAAACATTATAGAGTCCTAGGTTGGCTAAAGAGTGTGGACTCAACAGAATGACAAAATCATTATTACTAGTGCTATATGTTTCTAATGTGAATTGGTTGGAAATGGTCGATGAGAAATGGTAAAGTATCAAATAGTTGGCATCGAGTTTGTAATTTTCTTCATATCCAATTTGTGCACTTCACATGATGGATTTTTTCTTCTTCTGTTCCTCTAGGGTATTGCCTGGGAAACTAATGGCCAACTGCTGTTTAGATCATCCAATAGCAAGGAAAGCGAAGTTTAGACAAGTATTATCAGGTGTTGCTGCATCGATAATTCTTCTCTCTCAAGCCAACCTGGTTAGTACTTTTGTAGTTGTGTTTGTACTATATCAGTCAGCTGTCATTACTTCTGAGTTCTTATCAAAGGAGAGAGAATAGAGGAGAATCTAATTAGTAGTAAGATTAGATATCTGTTCCTATTTGGAGGATTAAAATTAGAAAATTTGATATTACTTGTATTGGCAAAGTTCTGCTGCTTGTACCATCTTTGATTTTCAAGCAATGTTGATATTGCTTGAGGAAAAGCACTGTTGGGCCTGTCTTTAGATATATATTTTTTTGGTATTTTGTATTAAACCATCATTCTGAGTGTACAATTGGTCTACCTGCCACATGATACTTTGCAATTTGAAATTTTAGACTCCTATACTTAGATGATTCCAAGAGATTGTGGAGAGATGAGAATATTTTGCTGAACTTTGGAACTCTTTAGATGCTGGCTTTATACATTGATGTTCTCATTAGATTTTGAAGGAAGCAAAAATAAGTATTCTTAGGTGAGGTTGAGCTCACGATTGAATTTTTCTTCTCAAGGATGGAATCAAGAAATAAACTCTTCTATTATAGATAACGACTTGTTCATATACTAATATGTATTATCTTCTGTAGGCTGTTGCAGAAGATCTCACCCAGAACAACAACTTGTGCCACCTTGCAAGTGCTATAAACAGCCTGCCACCACTGCCTTTGGACAAGGGAGATGGTGAAGCCAGTGGAAAGGTCATGATGATGAGTGGTATGACAGCAAAGGATTTTGATCCTGTGAGATATGCTGGAAGATGGTTTGAAGTAGCTTCACTAAAACGTGGATTTGCAGGACAAGGTCAAGAAGATTGCCATTGCACCCAGGTAAGTGATTAGGGAATCACATTATTCTGATTTTTTTTATCACATCTTCCTTTGACTAGGATCAATTTTGCATACTTGTGGAACCAAGTTTGTTGCCTTCCAGTGTAATGTTATTATGTCTTGGTTGTTCTTGTGATCTCTGTTTGGCATGCATGAGATGCTACCAGCCAAATTCATTTCCTCAAATGAAAATGCAGGGTGTATATACATTTGATATGACTGTACCAGCAATCCAGGTTGACACCTTCTGTGTTCACGGAGGACCTGATGGCTATATTACAGGGATAAGGGGAAAAGTTCAGTGTCTTTCTCAGGAAGACTTGGAAAAAGAAGCAACCAATCTAGAAAACAGTGAGATGATTAAGGGGAAATGTTATCTACGATTTCCTACGCTGCCATTTATCCCTAAGGAGCCCTATGATGTGATTGCAACTGATTATGACAATTTTGCCCTTGTTTCTGGAGCAAAAGACAAAAGTTTTGTTCAGGTATGAAGCCAAAGCTTTTGATATGTTGTGATTTTGATAACCTGCTTTGTTAACTATAACATCCATATAACCTGGGGTTGCGTTTTAGTTACTTAAGACTTCATTGGAAAGTATATTTTTCCATTACTATTGTTCGGTTGTTTGACTCTTAATTTCAAATTCTCTTGCTTCATTAAAATTGATGTGGGTCTTAATTCTGCGGTGTAAAGTTTCTAATGAACTTGTCGATGTTATCTGATTTAGTTGTAGCACAAATGTTCTTATCCAAAAAATTGTTTCAACTTCAGGTTTTTGGTCCCTGTTTATCCAAGTATAAGGAGTAATACATAGGATATGGCATTTGTGCTCTTGATGCAGTAACTGATTTGATATAACATTTTTCTTACCAACGAATCAACATCATGTTTATTGTTTTTGTATGTCAGATATACTCGAGAACACCAAACCCAGGTACGCAATTCATCGAGAAGTACAAAGCATACTTGGCAAATCTTGGCTACGATCCAAACAAGATTAAGGACACCCCACAAGATTGTCAGGTGATGTCTAACAGTAAGCTTGCGGCTATGATGTCTATGCAGGGGATGCAGCAAGCTCTAACCAACGAATTTCCTGATCTAGAACTGAAGGCCCCTGTAGCACTTAATCCATTTACAAGTGTATTTGACACTCTAAAGAAGCTTATTCAGCTTTATTTCAAACAATAATATGATTTATCATCAGGACTTCTGCTTTGTACCATATTATAGATCTACAACCCTCAAAGATGTTTTCAAGCTGCCAATATGTAATTAGCATGTACAAGGAACTACAGTTCTTCCTCGATCTTTTCCTGGGAATGAAACATATTAGTATTTTGGTTGAAGTTTAGGAACTTTTTGTTTTCTCTGTGGCTTCTTTTATCCTGGTCAGCAAGTGGAAAGTTAGAAACTGAATGGTAACTATTCTGGCACCGAATTTACTCTGTAAAAATTTAAGTACATAATCATTTTGTGGATAGTGTAGGTTTGAAAAGCAAATAACTTCGGTATTCAAAATTTCTAGTTACTTAGATTAATTAGGGAATGTATATTTTATGTTGAACTAGCAACATAACAAATATCACTTCTTAAATATCTTGAGGATCAAGATGTTAATCTCTACCTGTTGAATGGAGCTCTAGCAGTCAGTCACGGTACAAAATCATTTGATGATTCTTGATCTAACGTAGAATTCGTTTACAGAAACTTACATCAAATATGAAAGCTTAGCAGGGAATAACGACTCAAAAGAAGAAAAACCGTGTCCAATGAAATCAAGGTACAAAAAGCCTTCATATGAAAGAATTTGGTCAAGCCTTTTGAACCGAAAACCCCAGGATAAAGTCCTTAATTTCATCACTAGCAGCCTTATCAAGGGCAGTCCGTCCTTCCGAATCCTTGACTGTATAATCAGCTCCAGCTCTCAATAGTTCTTCAATTTTCGGCTTGTCACCTTCTGAGGCGGCCATCATTAGCAGAATGTCGACTGGATGAATATTTTGCTTCAAAAGAGCGTGCATCTTATCATATGAACCCTCAACTGCGAGCATGCCCATGTAATTGAAGTACTGTGAAAGAATGAGCAGAAAAATTGTTCGCCCATTAGTCAACTGTCGCATTTGAAGGAGTAGCTTCAAAAACCAACCATGTTGGATGAACAAAAACAGCTAAAAATAGTAACAATATAATGCAGAAGCACAAAGTTTGTCTCACAAGCAGATAAACTTTAGACAGAACTGGCCATTAGGTCCACCTGACAGTTGAGAAAACTGATTCATTTTTATTTGGGAGGAAAGAACTTGCAGGAAAGATTAGCATGGCTAATGATAAAAAGACTCCCACGAAAGAATCAATTTCAGCAGATTCTCCCATTCAATAACTAGACTAGAACCTAATCCCAACAGGCACCGAGCTTCTTTATCTTCTTTTGCATTTTGTCAATGTCCAGCAGCTTATCAAAGTCAATTTGCACTAAACCTATGGAGTACAAGTTCCTACACTAGCTACATGATTCTTTTTTTTTTTTTTTCCTTTTCAATCTAAATTAATCATGGTCTAATTACTAATATGACTCAAAGAATTGGCAATTATATTAAGGATGGAAAAAAATGCAAATTAACGATACAATTTAGAAACGAAGGCAGAGGAAAGCTTAAGAGTACGTGTTCAACATCATCACTGTCAAAATCATCACGGGATTGGCTACCGTAAATGCCAGCACCTTCAGCATCCACACCATTCTTACCAAACCTGAACCAGCAAGTGGTTCTTGAAAAGCCGGAGGTTGTCCCAATTCTGGTGGGCCTGCACCATCCTAACCCTTTGCTACTGCTTCTGGGGGCACCCACAAACTGAGGAGTGAGTTTGCAGAGGATTGGAATAGAGTTTGACCCATGTGAAGAAGAAGAGTTGAGGATGGGTGCTGAAGAAGTTAACGGATTCTGGAGAACACAAGGAATTGAAGCCATTGAGGATGGTTTCAGACACGAAACGAAACCAACGGCCTTATCAGGTAGAGTTCGATGGAACGATAAATGTACTAACTACTTATATTTGTTTTGACATAAATACATCAACAAATCAGAGTGGCGCAGCGGAAGCGTGGTGGGCCCATAACCCACAGGTCCCAGGATCGAAACCTGGCTCTGATAAGAGAGAGCAAGCTTCTCTTCCCACTCGAACAATCTTTTGCGCTATTTTCTCTTTTTTGCCCCTTTTCTTTCCTTAGTAGCAACAGGAGTTGGGCCAGAAATTACACGGGCCTTTTCCAATATAGTCCATCGAATGTATTTTTGGGCCCTTTAGACTTCAAACTTTTTTTTCTCTGGTTCCAACCAACAAACTCTCTCTCTCTTTTGGGAAACAAACTCAATTTTTATCAGTAGACTAATTGACAGTTTGCGTTAAAACACTATCTACCAAATTTCGGATTCTGTTATTTCTGCAGCTCAAGGCTGATAAATCAATAAAAAAGATTGAGATGCAAATTTGAAATTGGGATATTGCCGTCCAGATTTTGAACAGTTTCTTGCGTTATTTGCTTCATGAAACTGATTCATAATCCCCGAAAAAGAACGTAATTGGACAAACGCAGATGTCGTACGGGAGTATTTATAGATTCAGGATTCAATGGTAACAAAATATTCAGTGCAAGGAATTCATACATTTGCATCCATGGCTTTGACATAATTGGGGATTGCTTGGCAATAACTCTTAGTAGCATAGTAATATTATTAACGCTGGTCTGTTCAGAGTGGATGTATAGAGAAAAAAAAAAAGGGAAGCTAATTAACAATGAAAAGGAAATGAATGCAAATAGGTAATCAATAAGTTGTCTAGCCTTTTGAAGTTTAACATTACAAAACTCCCTCTTGGGATTTACAGGATCATGTGCTTATTCGCATGGCATATTATTATTCATCTTGCAGATGAAATTAGGATTAGGATTCGGATTTAGTAGTAGGGGTATGGTTGCGGTGGCTGAATTTGGCATTCCTTTGGTTGAAGGTTGCATATCCCGGGGAGCTGTCTAGCCTTTTGAAGAATTTGTTGTTGCTGCTGCGGTCCCTGCTGGCCATAGGGACCCTCACCTTGCTGCAATTGCTGAACAACCTGCTTAACGGCCTCACACCGGCATTGCTCGTCGACGTTCCTCAGCTGCTGGCAGCACTGCCAGAGTGGCTGCTGCTGTTTCCCTTCTTGGTTCAGGAGCACGGGCTCGTAAGGGCTCTCCTGGCTCTGTTGTTGCAAGAACTGCTGACACTGTTGGAGCTGCTGCGGCCTTTGTTGAATCTGCTGCCTGCATTTCTGCTGAGTCTGTTGCTGCTCCTCTCCGGCGTCTTGGTCCAGTTCCTCGTCGATGATGGCTGTTATGGTGGCTCGAAAGCCAGATACTCCAGCTACAGCCAAGAGGGCAGTAGCCAACATTGCTGCAATCACCGTCATTCTTGCCGTCATCTCGCTTCTCTCCTTCTGTGATGGAACAGCTAGCAGTGGGCGGAGGGTATTTATAGCTGAGCTTGGGCCTTGCATGGCTAGAACGTGTAAGCTGCTGCTACAGGGAGTGAAGATTGCTGTGGGCGGAAGAAGGGGTGAGGTGGCTTTGATCAAAGCATTTAAGCTTCCACGTAGCAAATCAACATGCAAATGCTCCCTCCCATCTTTCTTCTGTACGTTGGATATGCCTGCATTCTCCATTGTTGAAGTTGAGGATGCAAAATACACATCGGCCCAAATACACATAGGCCCAAAGACTCCATAATCTGTTGTCACTATTAATCTTCTGTAATTAACCTAAGAAGATCAGAAACATTGACCCCAAAAAGATTAAGGGGCAAAAAAAAAAAAAAAAAAAATAAAGGGCTCAAAAGACTAAAGTCATGTGATGTTCACGTGTAAGAAATGTGTGCCGTCAATTTATTTTTGATCCTGGTCCCCTGTGAGAATGAAGGCACAACCATATGCTCTGAAATCTTAAATTAATTTTGGTACTATTACCGCATTAAATTCCTTAACTCTGCTTTCATGATTTTCTTGCGGGACTCGAAACAGTCACAAGTTGAAAGCGCCAGGGCAGTGAAAAGAAAGCTAGCAATCCTCAAATCAGGAAAAGTTCAACTTTTTTCACTCTTCATTCCTGCATATCACATTCACCTAGCCAATTGGGCCGGCAATGGATTGTTTGTTTCAACAATGTATAGTGATTTCACAAAGGGTCACCATGAATCCAGATTAAAAAGTGGTTAGAAGATTGTAGGGGGAGTTAAAAACTTTCTTCAATGTATTAAGCCATCAGCACATGAATACAATGAATATGCATCTCCACCCATACCCTCTACAAAGGCAATCTCCACCTCAGATAAAGAATATAAGGTAGGGAATTCATGTGAAGATCACAAGATGTTGAGCCTCACCAAAATGCCACATACTCTAACCAAAACAAGTCCCCGACCACCAACTCTCTTCAACCAGAGGCCTCAAATTTATCTTCTACATTGCATAGGAAGGCGGTATCTAAATCCAGCACCAATGCACTGCAGATACCAAAGAAAATGACTGCAAAAACTACTCCAGTTGAAATAGGCACAAGAGGCACTGTTGGATCCCTCATACTACAAGAAATCGAATTTTTCAGCCAGCTAGAATTAGGTTGTCAAGATAGCTTACACAAACCTTGTAAACCGACAGAAAAGCCATCTTCAAGTAGCTCAACAAAATCAACCGTGGATATTTGGCAACACAGAAGAGAGAGCAGGCAGAAAGCTTATACCCAGCATGTGCAACATGGTAGACGTTGCAGAGAGCAGCCAGCCAACTTCAAAGTCTGGATTTTCTTACAGGAATTTGAAGGCTGATATTAAGAGTTTGCAGGCTTAGATAAAGCTCTCAGATAGCTTTGAGAAACCGAGCTTCTTTAGGCGATTGGTTATAGGGCTCGCCCATGCTCTATCTTGGCTCCCACATTTTATGTCCACAACTTCAGCCATGTAAGATAACCTTTTGTCAGATTTCTGTCTAATAGGTGTTCCATCTATTGAAATGTTATCTGAGTTGAGCATCGGAATTTGACTCTTCCGAGTGTAGTGCTTGGTCTTCCGGATGTTTTCAGGATTAACGTGGTTAGTGTGACCGCTGCTGCTTGCTTTATTCACCTGGGGTCTAGACTTGAATGTCTTTTGCTTAGAAGTGCCAATAGGAAGCAAATCACAATCAGCTGGTGCATTTACCTGAAGTTCAGGTTTCACATTTTCTAACTCCCTTGACATAAGGGCACCAATTGTCCCCATAGTTCCAACTTTTATTGAGCCTCCACCACCCCTGATTTCTTCTAGCGTCTGAACCATTTCTTTTACCGTCCCAACTCTTTAATTTCCAGAAAGGTTTCAACAAAGAGTCAACAGATTCAGTTTAAGACCCTGCATCGCAATAGCACCAAGGATATAATTTGAGATAGATCTCTATTGGAAAAATATATTGTGCCATATAACATTTTGTTTGGATTTTGACAATAATGCCTCCACATAAGCATTAACACCAACAATATGGTACAAGTGCTGTTTAACCAAACTGTTAACATGTAGTAATTTTTTCTTAAAAGCACAGATGGAGAAAGAGATGAAGTGTTGATGGCGTTTAGTTATGTCAGTTTCTAAATTTAGCTTTAGCATCGATTACCAGATAACAGACCATGCAGGGGACGAGAATACACAAGTGGGAAACAAAACAGGAAACTTTGCATGTCTTAACTAAAAAGTCTCCTAAGAACAGCAACCATTAGCTGAAAACACCATCCAAATATGACTCTGAAAATGTGACAACATCAGTTACAGCTATGATGGGAAATTACAAGATATGGAGCTATTGGAGCAATTCAGTGCAGAACCTGCCTTAGTAAATACTGATGAACTTCAATCGATCAACTAACAGGCACTCTGGAACATTAACCATACAATCATTAAGCATGTGTATTCCAGTTAAATTGATCAGACAAAACAAGAAGGCCTGACTTCAAAGAGCAGAAGATTATTATCCAAATATATCAGAAAATTAAAAATTGTGCAGTACACCTCCCCACCTCACCAGACATCGCTAATTAAACAGCACTGAGCTGGCAAAAGGTGCTCATTAAGGATTACAGACATTGCAATCAATTTGAATTATTGCAAAGCATTAGTTGACTTCATACAGAGGGACTGCTAGCTTTAATGAAGAAGACCTCATAAAGCTGTTTTCAGATTTTATCCAACAGTACAGTAATGAAATGCACAATACAAGAGCAAAAGGTGGTGCCTTTAAACTCTACAGATCATCTAAAACCCCACCAACAAGAACCATAAACCCTCATAAACTAAATGTCCCACAGAAGATAGAAAGACATGGCACACAGCCTATTTATACTTTTATAGGCTAAAAAGGTTGAAGTACAGATTGGTTTCAACTTTCAACCCCAGCAAATATAGGAACAAAGAAGACAAATTGCCATCAAATCGAAAAAGGTAAATCAGTGAGATAACATTCAACAGCCATGAACCAACGCAAAGATTTCTTCCGTGAACAGTTCATCTATAATTAAGGGGAAAAAAAAAGTTTGCAGATCTAAACTAAGTAAAAAGATATCGAGAAGTTCTAACCAAAAGGGCCCAATCAGGGGAATGGACGCAGAAATCAAGAAACAGAATTTACCTACAAACACCTGAGCGTGCGTTGGAGCTCTCAAAAGTGAACTTAGTGAAGGAAGGAAGGGTCCCTTGACATCCCTTTAAACCAAAGAGATGGAAGAGATAAATAAAAACTCTAAAAAGCCAGAACTGATACCTACTAGAGTAAGTAAATGAAAACAGTAACTGAGCTAGCAAAGATGGAGGAGTCTTCAGTCTTCACAATTCTCCAACCACCCCAAGAATCTTGAAAAAGGGTTGCTACGTCCTCTACCAATCTAGACTGCGGTTATTCTGTCACCATCAAAATCTTAAGTGATGCGAGATTTCACATAAGTCCAACTTTATAAGTTAAAGCTATGTGACTTATTTAGCATGGCAGCTTATCTAACCAGTCAAACGGAAGGTTTAGGCAATATCCGACAAGAAATCATATCATGTCCTCTAATAATAGGATTACGCTCCCTTTTGTCCTTTTTCGCCTAGTGGGAGACGCTACTACTAATCCCGTGAAGAAACGTTGAAGGTTTAAAAGGTTATTTTTAGGATTTTGAGTGAAAGGTTGGGCGTTAAAAAGGTATCGGAACGAATAAATGGAATAAATTTCATAATTGGTATTTGGTTCAATGGCATGGGGATTGAAATTTTGGAATGATTTTTAAAAATTTGGCATCCCTCCATTCCTTAGTAAAAGGGTGGGTTTTGTCCAAAACCCAAGTGTGATTCCAAAATCTTATAATTACATAATATTTAGTAGAATTAATATTTATATATTATATATTTATATTTATATTGACATTATATATTTATATTATAATATATACATATATATAATATATTATAATTATAAAATTTTATTATAATATTAGTATATTATATAAATATATATTATAATTATTTAGTTAAATATAATTATATTTATATAATATATATTATAAATTTCTTAATATTATATAATAATATATTTATAATATACATGTATATTTATAAATGTATATTATATGTGCATATAATTATAAAAATACATGTATATAATATTAATAAATTATATATTTATATTTATATTTATTATTTTAAATATAATAATATATAATAATAACTATATCTAATTAATATGCATTATATTTATATAAAATATTAGTACAATTAATATTTATATATTATAGAATTATATATTTATATTTATATTATAACATTTGTATAATTATAATTAATTATACAAATAATATTTAATTTAATTAGTTACAAAATTATAATAATGATATTATTATATTATTATATTATATATTATAATTATATAGTTAAATACAATTATACTTATATAATATATATTATAAATTTATTAATATTATATAATAATATATTTATAATATATATGTATATTTATAAATGTATATTATAGTGCATATAATTATAATATATACATGTATGTAATATTAATAAGTTATATAATTATAATTATAATTATTATTTTAAATATAATAATAACTATATTTAATATGTAATATATATTATATTTATATAAATATTTATATAATTAATATTTGTATATATTATATATTTATAATTATATATTTATATTATAACATTTGTATATTTATATTTAATTATATATATAATATTTAATTTAATTAGTTACAAACTTATAATAATTAATATTAATAATTGTTAGTTATATTTATTATATAATGTATATTAATTTATGTAATATAATTAATATTATCAATTATACTAATAATTATACATGTTTACTAATAGAAATTATTAATCAGTTAGACTAAATTTACTAATACATTTATACTAATATATTTAATTAGTGAAAATTTCTTATATCCCATTTACAAAGAGCCAATAATTATCATTTACAATGTGGTTTATAATATATTTATTATATTCCATTCCGAAAGAGTCGACGAACCAAACATCAACTATAATAATGATACACATTCCAGGTTTCCAGGTACTTGAACCAAGCAAATGTATTGGAATGAATGACCTCATTCTAAATCCAGGATATCCGATTCTGAATCCGAATCCGATTCCGATGTGCGAACCAAACGCCACCAGTTTAATATGAAAAACCTTCTGAAGTGTATCTGTTTTCACAGTTGGAATGGGTCTGGAGAAAGCCTGATGGCTGATGGTTCCCGGTTCCCACTTCCTAGTCCAAATTGAATAACAATGGCCCGAGATGTATGCTTTCCATATTGGGCCTCCGTCTATTTTATAAAAGGGCCAAGATTGTCTACGAGATTTCAGGTGACCGGGTATAATAACGAGCCATCATCCATGAGTGCACATTACCCGGTTTGATCTGCAATTTCATGCTGCATTGAGAAGACAAATCTCCTGATAAAAGCAATCTAAAGAAGCAGGTTCCATGTCGACTTTGCTCATTAAAGAAAAACGATTGAAAGAGGAAGAAGTTATGCTGTCTATTTCATTTCTTTCTTAATATCCAGGCAGGAACTCATCTTCTTCTTCTCTTTGGTACTAGTATATTGGTTCAGGAAAATGAATAATAAATACTCCAATGGAATTCATGTAGAAAAAAATGTTGACCGTCTTACAGCAGAAGCCTCAGCAGCTGGGCAAAGTCATTTTTTGTATCAACCTATCCTATTCCTAACTTTGTCAAAATTTTACAAGATAGCAACCACTAAATTTAGCTCAGTGGCCACCACCAAAGCCTTTCAGGTTTGGTGGGTTGGAAGATTAGATTCAAACTTTGTCTCCATCCATTAGTCACTAAAATATGACAAATCGCTATCGTTTAACTTCTCTAGAAGCCAAAACAAAAAGCAATTGGATTGGTGAATTTCACATCCCTTTAACAATCACATCCGAGTTACCAAGCTTCACCTTTAACCATAACATTCAAATTTGATCCCATAGCATTTAAATTTGATCCGACAATGATTCAGTTTTTGTCAGTTCTCTCGACTCAATTAAGCCACCCTCTCCACCAGAGTAAACTAGAAAAAAAAAAAAAGCTTCATCCTTTGCAGTTTGCACAAAGTAAGGTTGTGTTTGGATTGCATTTTCCGTGATTTTTCATGGAAAAATTACTGTAGCGATTTGATGTATGTGAGGGAAAAAGGTAATAGGGAAATGTGATCACGAAAAACGACGTAATTTTTCGACGGAAACCGGCAATCCAAACAAGGCCTAAATGTGTCCGGGTCCGGGAGACAGTGCCTCACGAGTCGAGTAGTGGTGCCCAATTTTCGCTCCCTTAGCCTCAGGTCAAAAACTGACTAAGGAAAACCAATAATGCTCCCCACCAAGGAAAACCCCAATAAGCTAGAGTCCAATTCTGGATTATGGGGATGGGAATATGGGAATGGGCATAATCGGTCATAAATTTACCACCAATCATACTCATCTCTTTCTTTCCAAAGTTCTCTGGATTCAAATTTCCATCTTTCATTTCATTGTCCTCCCTCTCTAATTATTCAAACTCCTAACCCCCTCCCAGGTTCCAATCCCCTAAACAACCATAAATCTAATAAGCACACACATAATGACATAACCAACAGACCTTTGACCTACATTATTTAACTAGTAGCAGATGACTAATATTTCAGTTTAAGATTAAACCCACCGGGCATTGGTTAATGAATGAGTGAGATCAGATCTCCCATCTTCCTTCCTTCTTTGATTATTGGCCCTCTTTCATTTTCGCTTCCTTCTCACTTCACTTCTCCAGTTCTCCCCACTGTCACTGTCCACTCCACCAAAGCCAGCTCTCTCTCTCTCTCACAAGGCTCTTTGCGTTGCATCTGTTCTCCTCTACATCTAACTGACTAATACCACACCAGGAGTGACCGGTGAATTCAAATTTCACATTTCCCCAACCTCAGAGCCCACGTTCATAATCCCATTCCCCAGAAAGGGTAAAAAAAAAGAGAAAGGAAAAGGAAAAAAAAAACCAGTCTTGGCAAACTTTTTCCCATATCTGCCCATTTTCTCTCTCGCATGCTCGCAAAATTCTTGTGAAAATGAGTACTTCTTTAAAATCTGCTAAACCCTCAAAACCCCCAACCCATCCTCCGCCCAGACAACCCCTTCAAGATCTTCCTCCTCCTCGCTTTCTTCCCATTTAGCCATGATTGAACTCAAGCAAAGAATCCTCACTTCTCTCTCCAAGCTCTCCGACAGAGACACGCATCAGATCGCCGTTGAAGACCTGGAGAAAATCATCCACACCCTCTCCAACGATGGCGTTTCAATGCTTCTCAACTGCCTTTACGACGCCTCCAACGACCCTAAACCCGCCATCAAAAAAGAATCCCTCCGCCTTCTGGCAGTCCTATGTGCTTCCCATACCGATTCGGCTTCCACCCACTTGACTAAAATCATAGCCCACATTGTCAAAAGGCTTAGAGACTCGGATTCTGCTGTCAGGGATTCCTGTCGGGATGCCATTGGATCTTTGGCATCCCTTTACTTGAAGGGGGAAGCTGCGGCTGATCATGGTAATGTGGGATTGAATTCAGTAGTCTCGTTGTTTGTGAAGCCGCTGTTTGAATCCATGAGTGAGAATAATAAGGCGGTTCAAGGTGGGGCCGCAATGTGTATGGCTAAAATGGTGGAATCTGCTTCCGACCCGCCTACAATGGCTTTCCAGAAGCTGTGTCCCAGGATTTGCAAGTACCTCAATAGTCCCAATTTTATGGCAAAGGCTGCATTGTTGCCTGTTGTTTCCAGCTTATCCCAGGTTTGTTCATTTTAGGCACATGTTTTCTCCAATATTTTTCTGGTGGACAATTCTTTGTTTATGGTGATTAAACTGTAGTACATCTTTTATTTCATTAGTTTTCTTGTGTGTTATTGTTAGTGAGGATTCACGTCTAGTCAGTATTTTCCCGGTTATGGAGAATTTTCTCTTAAGAAGCGATCAAAAACTCTTTATGAAATTGAAATGTTAATTTTTTTAGTCAGGTTGGTATTTTAAGTATTTTGCCAGGGTCTTGGAGTTGCATACTATATGTATTTCATGGTTAGAAGAAAGTCAATTTGATATTTTGTTAGGCATAGAACCATGATGTCCCAATGCAATGGCAAGCAACGCCTACTATAGCTTTATATATATATAGGGCAGCTGGACACGAAAATGTAGTCTGCCTCTCTTACCCTGCTTAATCAGCAATCAGCATTTTCCTTTGCCTTCGTTCGGTCAAGCATTCTTTGCAGTTTATTGTATTGATGTGATGCTTTTTTCATTTCGAGTAATTAATGATTTCAGCCTCTGTTTTCATTGAGATTTGCTGGTGCAGAATTTGGAAATGCTTGATACTGTCATTTTATCTGTGCACC